CATTTCTAACTTTACCCCCAGAGTACATCACAACGGTAACTAACTTAATCAATAAAAAAAATCTCTACCTCAGTATCAACTCTGACCTGAACACACCTACATACAGACACTGAACTTTGGTCATTCTTCTTTATTTTTGATGAAAATAAAATAAAATTAAACACATCTCACTATGGAGTGCACCCGGTGGGATTTCCTCCTGCTGCCCCTTGTTCAGAGAGTTGTCAGGTTTTGATCACTTCAATTGGAAAAATGTTCCCTGATTTTAAAACTTTTGCTGAAGTGGCTCTTGTAATTCCACTACATAATATGGCAGCAGAGTGTGGATTTAACCTCCAGATCAACATTCAAACCTTGAAACACTTTGCACACAGGCAGGTGCGCCATTCATGTTCATGTTGATAATTTAAGTATGATTGTTTTATTTCATTGTTTATATGTAGTTATTGGGGCCGCAGTCAGTAGTTTTTCTTTGAAAAAGGTACATGTCATACATCTGTTTGATGTATGATATCACAACGTGGATTCTGTGTCCAGCTTGCTGAATATTAAACAAAATAAAAATGAAAAAAAATTTAATAAGTCACTTTTTTTTTTTCCTTTTGTAATCTGGCTGTCAAAATGACAGACAACAAAAAAGTCTAATGCAACCTTTGCATGGAAGGCTTCTATATATTCTATATATAGGTAGGGATGGGCGATATGGACTTGGGAATTTACTGTAATATTTTGTGGTACGATTGTGATAAAGATTACAATAACATACAAAGGATGGTAGTACTGCACAGCATCCATAATGCCTCAAACACAATAAATATTGTTCAAATATTATTGAATAACATACTCATCTGAAATTGACACTACTTAGTTAAAAGTGTGATTTATATCAAGCAACTGCTCACTGTATATGAATTTAATCATATTTTCAAATGTGCTGATATTTAATGATGCTCTGATGGAACAAAAAGTGGATAAAAGCAAAATTACATTTCTGCTTATACAGTCAGTTTAAAAAAAATATCATCAATAACTGAAACTTATAATTACAAATCAAACTTCTTATCATGGTAATTTTTTCATAACAAATGATAAACTATATGGTAACTTTCCACCCACTGTTGACAGATACTGTTCGGCAAAAGCTTTTATGGCTTGTATTTGTGTACGTTACCAGTATGTATTTTTTTAAAGAAATATAAAAAGTATAAAAACATCCTGTATATAAAATATTTATGCTGCTAATGGAAAAACAGAAATGATTTAACCCATTCATCCCACTAATGTAGCCTCAGTGTTTTTTTTGTGAGCTGTATTTTCTTTTCAAGATAACTAAATCTTGAAACTGTTTTTGTTCCACTTGATGTGATGCTTATCATGTAAAGGAGTTTTTCTTTTCTTTTTCTTTCTATTTTATATATGTTTTGTATTGGGACTGAGTTTGAAATTATGTTGTATTGACTAGATAAGGCTCACAGTTGAAGCAAGATGGACTTATTGTTTTCCCTTTCTTTCTGTCTTTGCTACGACCTCCATCTGCCAGGAAATTTCCTGTTAAAATTTAATTACAACAAGAGACCATGAACTTCTAGAACTTTCACATTAAAATCTGCTTTGATGACTTTTCTTAGTAATGTAAATAAAATGCATATTTACCATCTTTATTTTGCAGCATCAGCTTTTTAAAAATGTTTATAATGGTTTGGGCAATGAAAAAGTTTCTACAAAGGTCTACAACCTTCACCCCTTTTTCTGGGAAAGACATTGATAAATAGAGGGACAGACTTGAAAATACCTAGGAAGACAATATGAGGCTTACGGAGGTCGAGAAGCCTTCCCACAGGAGAAAAGCTCCATTGTGCCTCCCTCCTCCCTGTGCTCCGTTTTAAGCACCACAAATGGGAGGCAATGAGGATGACACAAGAAAGAATGAAATATTATAGCCTGATAAGGTAGCTGATGGATGACATGATGGATAGCACAGCAACTCATTTCTTACAGTGTGTGTTTAGAAACGGCTTGCAAGCTCTTGTGTGCATCTGTGTGCCTCTTCCTTTGGCCCATGTGAGGTAGAGCGAGTTGCAATGATGTACAAGAGCATCATTTGCCACTTCAGCAGTGGCATTGCTTATAGGATTCAGACCCCAGGGACAGGCCAAGTCCCCCATTGCTGTGAAATATGAGCCTGCTGTAAAGAGCGCCTCAAGGTTGCCGTTGTTTGGTTGGACACGAGGAGTTGGGGACCAATCGGATGACAGAGGACACTGTCCCCGGAAAGAATGAACCTTGAGCCTAATTCATTGTTCAAGCTAATAAATAGAAACTGGTTTTCAAAATTATACATGTGCAAGACCATTTAAGTATTCCCTCTTTAGTGTTTTACAAACTTTTATTTAATTTAATACAATGAAATAAGTTGCTGTATTTCATGCCTTATGTCTTCATGAATGTCTATCATATCGATGCCATAGTTTTCTACTAAACATGCACCAGTTTCCAAGATTGAGGCATACCAGTGTTTAAGCAAAACACAATGTTCTTATGATTTGGTTTAAAACATTTTTAGTAAGATGGTAGTGAAAGTGTCAGTGACCAGAGTTTTCTGTGTGGAGGATAGATTACCACACTCATTTTATATTTCCAGCAGTGAAAAACTAAAAAGCTATCAGTCAATATGTCTTTTTTTTTTAAGTTCTGTGTGAGAATATCATCCTGCACTATTGGCACATTTACTTAAAAGCCACTGTTAAAATTTATCAGTTCTTTTTTCTGACGTTAGCTTATTAGATCATGTTGTTTTTTTTATTTTTTTGTAGACACAATTAAAAGTGTTTTCATTTCTCAAGCTTACACCATGAAAATCTTACAGCAGCCCATTCCTCATTTGCAGCAACAAAAAATACCTGCTGCTCCTCGTGACAAGCATTTTTTATGTTTCTAAACTTCTCATTGTTTAATTTTTCTTTTTGCCTGGTTTTATTGGGCTTCATTTTCTTTTGGAGCTTTTTCTTCAGACAATCAGAAATTCTTTATTAGTAAGAACAGTCACAAAAATAAACTCTGCATGTGGTTACCCTGGCAGATTTTCGTGGATGGGAAAATTTGCATCACACAAGCCTTTCATTTGCGCGTTCCCGACTAAAGAAACCTCAACCGTACGATCTCAAGCAGGAAATATGATGGCACACAAACAGAAAGCCACAAGTGCTCATATTCTGAATGTTCTCTTCTGAACTGAGATGTAAAAGTGCAAAATTTTATTCCTCATAGTTTTTCATTTCTACGTTACGATGCAGCAAAATCTCAAGGGGAATGGGGACAAATGCTGCCTGTGTGCCAGAAGCCTCCCAGTTGCCAAGCTGTAGCGCTCAAGCATTTGTCCCGGCAGCTAATATGCTAATTTGAGTCCTTGTGCATGTGCTAATCTGGTAGTGATGGAACACGGGCCGTAATAAGGTAGCCTTGGCAGATCAAAATAAAGGCTACAGCACAGTGGAGCTTGAAAGTGACAAGTTACTCTATCATTAGAAATCTGATTAGACCAGAGGGAAAGAACCCAAGTACTAACCAGGTGCTTTAAAAGGCAAATCAGTGCTGAGTAATTTAGGGCATCCTTGGTGTGTGAGCAGGTGTTCTGCCTTCAACAGATGATGGAAAACACCTGCTATGAATTCACTAATGGTATAGCTTGCAGCTGGAGTCCTCCACCCCTAGTGAGTCGCTTGTGATTTTTACCCTCTAAAAATCTCATCAGAGTAAGGAGATGTTGTGACTGATTTGCATCCATGTTTGCCAAACAGGTTTACAAGGAACTTATTTCAAAACTGCAAACCACTTACATACATTAAATGGTAAATTTCAAATTTCCTGAAAATAGTTATGTCTGCAGAAGTTTAACACTGTAACTAGCGAGTTTGCTGTTGGAGATATTGCGCAACTCTTTTTATTATTATTATTTTTTTTAACCATTAATCTGATGTATATTGTGTACAATTTAGCTGAAAAAAGTAGTCAAATGAAGGAAAACAGCAACTGTAACCTGACTGCACACAGGTGAAAATCTTTAATGCATTTACCAAATGGTCTTTAAATATGGCATTCATAATGTTCAACTTCAATAGATTTAATTTTCAAACCAAAATAGCCCTGCAGTGAATAGAAGTAACTTAGAGTAAGGTTGTTTTACTTTGTCCTCTCATGTTCAGGAATAGTTTTGGGAGGGTCACTTTTGTCTGTCATTTTATAGGTTATATGTAATACAATCATAAAATTTGATTGCTTGAACAAAAGTGGATGTATTTTTTTCGTGGGTCTGGAAACCAATTTGCAGTAAGACATCAGATGACAAAGGGATTCAAAGAACTCGGGGACATAAAGACCTGATCAGGACAGGCCCAGGTGCATTCCTAATTATGATGCTTTCTACCTCCCATTAAATATGAAGAAATGGAAGAAAATGAGTATTTCTTAGGTTCCTTGTGACAGTAACTGTTTCTGGCCAAGTCTATGTACTCTGAGTACATAATTATGTCACATGTTATTTCTGGTTGGTTATTAGTTATTATCTGAATTTCAGGAACAAAACATTCTAGCTTTGATGGAATTTCTTTTATATGTGGGTTTTGAAGGGAACTGTAATTAATCACGTCTTTAGATAATACTTGAATACCAGAATTAGATGAGGTTCTGTTGAACTTCCTCATTTGCACAAATAACTGATTGCTAGAGCATTAACTCCCACGTTGCATTTGCAAAAAAATCAATTTGATAGTTGGAAGAGACTTCCAAATTGAAGTGTAACATTTTATCTTTTGCAACACATCATTTTATCACCATTTTCTCTGTAGAGGAGGTTGCTACAAGGGTCACAAATGTGACAACTAGATGTTTTTTTTTTTTTTTTTTGCCTACTCGTTTCTTGCTTCTTATTTTCACTGTGTCATAAACCTTAAGGTATTTTTTTTATACTCAGCACATTTTGTGTTCTTTCCTTTCTCCTCCAGCTCTGCCCAGTTACACTTGTGGTAATCCTGGCCAGCTGCTGAATGGCTATCAACAGGGGTCCACTTTCAATATTGGGGATAAAATCCGCTACAGCTGTAGCCCTGGCTATGTGCTGGAGGGTCACACCACTCTCTCCTGCCTCGCCACTTCAACTGGGACGGCTGCCTGGGATTTCCCCCTTCCTTACTGCAGAGGTAAGTAGCAAGGAATACATGAAGGCGTACAACTAAAACTAAACTTTTTAAATATTGTTGGTTTTTTTTTTTTTTTTTTTTTTAATACAGTTTCATAACACTGAACATAATTTGTAACCATTATTAAAAAAAGCTGGTCATAATACAAAAAAGTATTGAAATATTTATTTTTTTGTAGCAATTGACATAATTGCTGATTATCTCTTAACTCTTACAAGCAAAATACTTTAGTCCACTTATAAACACACACACACATATGTGTGTGTGTGATTTTTGCTGATGGAATTAATCGTCCCACCCACCCACACACATTTATGTGTATTTACAATGTTTGCTGTGTTCACACTGATATCTTATTTACGGTGGCAGGACCTCATGTGTTTGCTCCCAGTCAGGTGCTTGTGCCAATTGTCCTTCCCTCAGAGCTAGCAAGCACCCCTGCTGCAGTGACACCTGCCAGTGTGCGTTGTCTGACCCAGATTGACACGGTTTTCAGATTTAAAAAAGAAAAAAAAAACAAAAACAAAAGCAACACTGATTGTCAACATTTTTGCATCATTCATATTTGTACTAAAATTAATTTCCAGAACTGTACCAGATGCACATGCTAAAAACATGTGAGCATGCATGTTCATGAATGTCCATTTGTGCTCGTGCGTGCTTGTGTGAGTTCTCTTGTATCCATGTGGCCAATGGTTTATGTTAGTGTGCCTGCTGAGCGGAGCACTGAGACACTATACCATCTGTAGCCAGGCCGGGAGTCAGGAAGCCCACAAAGGCGCACACATGGCTGGGCACCGTGCGCCAGAACTGTCCCCACCCACCCATCACATGCAGGCACATGCACATGACTGGACAATGCGTCCCAGAAGAGACTATTGTTGGTGTTTTCGCTACTTTTTGTGTAATTTTTTTTTTTTTAAAGCTCGTATTGAAAAAGCGTTGTTAAAATCAGGGTTTCTACACATTGTTAAAAAGTTTGGAAATTGACTTTTGTATCTTTCTAAGTCTAGCTGTGTGGGAGTAGACTATGTAAAACCGAAAGGTGCTCGCATTTCCAGACTATTTTCCTAGCCATCATATTTGCTAGTCTTCCATCCTTCCTTCCCCCGTCTTCTTGTCAGTTGTGGGTTTTGCAGATTCTGTCCAAATTAAAATATCTTGAAATACATTCATGTAATTAGACTTAAAGAGAATGAGGATCTCTAGAAAAGCATGGAAGCTTTCCACTGATAGTGTGTCAAAATCGTTTCGCAAAATGACATATGTAACAATGACGTCCTTCTTAAAACGAGTAATAAATAACAAAAGCGAGTAGTTTTGGGACTTATTTCCCATCAGGCATACAAAAAAATCTCCTTTTGTAAAGAAAATTCACAAACCCTCGCTGATGTGATTAGGCCACCTTTTCAGCTGAAATTACACGCCAACAAGTTTTAGGAACTAGCAATTTTGCTGTGATTAATTGAGGTCCCTTCGAGGCCACATAAAAGTCAACTTGTACACCTGAGTGCACTTTCATAATGCGCAAGTGTATTGTTAATGTCACTCCAATTACAGTGCCTGCCCATATGTGGAGGTGTAAAGCTCCCACTTTAGTTTTTAGCAGGGAGGACATTTTGGCATGGTCACCACTTTGGACTCAGAGTGCCAGCAGTGTTGAGCCAAACATTAAATACAGCCAATGATTGCACAGATAATCTTTTATAAGCCCTGCTCCATGCTCATCAAGTTGTTTTATCTGTATTCAATTAAGATATAAACACGGTTCAGCCACAATCTCTTTTAAAGGAGACTTTGTGTTTTTGTTTTTTTCCTCTGGGTTTTATTTTCCCCCTTTTAGCTGTGCTGTTTTTACTAGAAAATGACATGTTATGAACCCTGCAATAAGTTCCCAGAAATAATGTTTCTATGAAATGACGTGAAAGGTAATTACTATGAATATTGTCCAGCTAAAAAGTGCAAATCACAGATGCCTCTAGAGGCACTGGTGTCACAGACTTTAGACTTTAGGCCCATTTTAGACTTGACTTGGACTCCTGGTCCTAAACTATCAACAGGTTTTTTCTTATATTTTTACTACTGACACAAAAAAGTTTAGTTCCCCTCCCGCTGCTATTTGGAATACATAGTATTGACAGAGGCGGTACTTGTAGCAGATTGTAAATGGTCTTGCCTGCACAATTTTGTAAGTTGTCACATGTTGTTGATTCTTAAATTTAATTCTCTGTGTTTATGCTTTGTAGGTCAGTGGTGCGTCTGAACAACCATTTCTTATTTAATGCCTTTAAAATATTTATGTTTTTTTGCTTGCATGTTTTGCTTTCCTCCTCTTGCAATATCTGGCTTTCAATGGCACTCACAGAAATAAATCAGCCCCTTAAACATGATGGAAAACAATGAAAGTGACAGCACTAATATGTGCGTGCTGCTGTCCAGTCATGGGTTACAGTTTGACATACGCATCGACTTGTAGAAGAAAAACAATCGCTCTTATTGCACATTTTGGATTTTGAAAAATTTATGTTCAATGGGTCCTACTTGGGTTTTATTGCTGGATTTTGTTCCTCTTACATATGGTGGCCAATTGCAGCTGGAGAGAGCCGAGGGAGTTGAAGTGTAGAGGCAAAGGGGAGAGTTTAGAGTCAAAAAAAAAAAAAAAAAGAAGCTCCTTTCAAGTGTGAAGAAACATTCTTGTGTAGAATGTCAATATATATCTTTATGCACTTTTCTTTCTACATTCTACTTCCTGTCTCTCCCTCTGCAACAATCACCTGTCATTCCTCATGCCATCTTTCTCAGTCTTTATTGTCCACCTTCTCTCCACTGTTTTTTTTTCTTTTTTTTCTTTTTTTTCTTTTTTTGGCCCGTCCTCTCATGTCACCTGTCATCCTCTTCATCCCCTGTTCTCTTCCCGCTGTCGGGATTTTCCTCCTGTTGAAAATCACACCCCCAGGTTCCGGCTCGTCCATGCTCGCCCTCCCTTAGGGGGCTTGCCATGGTGACAGGTTGAACGGATGATGGACGGGGCTTCTGAGGTCCTCGTCACCTCTTTAAAACATCACACCCACTCGGACGCTCGGCCGCCATAATATCTCCCACTGACACATACTTACACAGGACATAACCGTGACAAAGTGTTAAAAAATACAACTGATGTCCCCTGTCTCTTTCCTTTTAAGTACAACAGTACTAATCTTCACACGTTTTAGTTGCAACGAACATTCTCGGCACAATATGAGCGACTGTCTAGCAGTGTATTGCTGTAAAAATAGTCAGAGCCTGTGTCCAAGATATGCTTCAAATATTAGGTGGGCCCTCCATGCACGAGACTAGTTGGTCTGGGATTTTGAAATTTTGTGTACAAACATAAATAAAAAAAAGCCTTTATTATTATTATTTTTTTAAATAACCAAAGTTTAATTCCTTCTTTGTGTCCACCCACTTGGTGAATAAATCTGTTTCTGATTCTGAACTGAGATCTGGGGAATTGGGGAATAAATTCAACATCTCAAACTCACTCCTTGTACATTTTTGTTTTGTGTCGGGGCAAATTATGCTGCTGAAATAGGCCGTAGCAGTCAATAAAAACTGGCATGAAAGGGAGTACATGATCTGGAACAGTGTTTTTTTTTTTTTTTGGTAGATTTTGACCACTGCACACTCAGAACAACCCCACAGGTGATGCAGTTTTAGAGTTGTTCTGATGCAGTATTAGTTTTCAAAGCTTCCTGAGATCTGTAGACTTACAAATTTATTCAGCTTTTAACACATCGGCTTTGAGGACGCACTCAGTATTGTTCCAACATGTAAGATATTATGAGCATTATCTCAGCACCACATTAAATGAACGGCTTATTATTTAACTATATGCTTTAAGCTGAGTCGTTTTGATTAACTAAATCCTGCATTAGTCTGAATTGAATCATGTCCCTCCTTGTTGCGTTACTTTGCATCATGCCCTAAACCTTTCTTCTTGCTGGCTGTAAAACCATTGTAAGGCATTTTGAAACCGTAAAACTGCTGCATTTTGCCCTCTGGCAGACTGGTAGACAATAGAAAGATATTCTGTAATTCACTGCAGTATTTTATGGTGGTGAATAAAACAATGCTGTTTGGGTTGCAGCAGATTGCTGTGTGTTCATTGAACACACAGATTTTTTTATTTTATTTTATTTTTTAATCCACATGAAGTTACTTAAAAACTTCCAGAAGCAAGTTTTCACTGGTTGAATAAAGCTGAGGAATACAATGTGCTGGGAGACTGAGGGTGGGCAGCTTGCATGGCATAGCCTAGAGCTGAACCACATGAAACAACACAACCACAGCTCCTAATGTGTTCTCTCTTGAATAACAATATGGATTATTTACAGCTGCAAGAAAGAGTCTGCTCTGTTTTTTGTTTTTTTTCTTTAACCGTCTACATTGGAATCTCTAACTGGACATACTAGTGGTGTTTGAAGCTAACATCCTTCCTCGCATGTGACGAGTCAGTGAGTTTTCTGCTGCTTGTTGTGGATCTCTGAATGAAAGTTGTATAAGTGGTGAGGACTACCACCCAATCTGCTAGAAACAACAAGATGCAAAGGAGATTTTGAGTGCAGGCTCTAAAAAAGACACTGCTGACCAATAAATTGCACTGATTCTCATGGGGAAATGCAATACTCTGTCAACTTTGCCTCCTCCAAAAAAGTTTTAAACATAACATATTTGTTCTCTAAATGCTAACAGTCTTATTTAGAGCTGTAAAGACTTGTGGGTTGACACTATCTGAAAAGTTAATCCCATTTAGTCTCGTGTTAATAGGGTATTTTTCCCGCTCTGCAACAGCCAGCTCATTTAGGCATTGCAGAGTCCTAACTAAAGGTGAACTTTTAGCCGCATTAAAGCTGCAGCTTGCGTTTATTGACCTTTTTACTCTCCCTGCTCTGATGCTCTCATTTTTCTGAACATCAGCAGTTATCTCTGCAGTTCATCTTTGGATCTTCATTGCACTGTAACGGCAGTGTGTTGAGACTTTCCTAACTTTCTTTTTCTTTACAGCTGATGATGGATGTGGAGGGACACTGCGGGGCCAGAGCGGGGTGATCACCACCCCCAATTACCCAGCCGAGTACAACAACAATGCTGACTGCACCTGGACTGTGCTGGCTGAGCCCGGAGACACCATCGCCTTGGTTTTCTCTGACTTTCAGTTGGAGGACGACTATGACCTGCTGGAGGTCAGCGGTACAGACGGACCTTCACAGTGGTAAGTGTTCTGCCAGCAGTGTTTTAATCACGGAAGGAGCTGAATAGTGTAAAAAAAAAAAAAGAATAAACAATCTTGTAGCATCTGCTTGCACATGGGCACCCTGTGTGAGCATGAGCAATGCTCGGAGGTGGGTGGGTGTTAAATAGGTTCTGCTAAGCCGGATTGTCGCAATGTCAAGTGTTGTGAGTTGTCTTTAAAACGAAATCGACAGATAACAGTAATTTGTTTGATAGGCACTTCCTAGCTTTCAAACTCCTTTGTGGCGTATCATATGTTTGGTGTTTCTAATGTGTAATTTGAACACTCCATCTCGGTTGCACACTCTTTCTCTCAATTACCGAGTCTCGCACAAACACACATGCTCAACTCCAATGATGAAGAGGCCGGGTATCCTGGCGTCAGTGTGGGTCTCTCACCATCTGTGGCAGCTCCTCCTCTTTCTGACAACTCTCTCAGCTCAGGAAGTAATTAGTGAGCTCAATTACCACCAGCAGCCTTATAGTGGTGTTTCATACACACTACTCTTTGCTTTCACAGTAACACACTATAGTTCATATGGGAATGTGCACAGTAATAACTCTACACTGTCGCCTGTAACCTTAACCCATATAAAAAAAATAAAATAAAAACACCCTGGTGAAATATTGGCGTATGAATCCCTTCTGATGGACATCGAAAACCAGTGTCCCAACTTTTACTTTGGTATAATCTGTTTAAAGACTCTTATAAGGCTCTAGCAGTAGAGATAAAGAGACAGTGAAAGAGACTTTGAAGTCACAGCCACAGGCAGCAGTTTGCAGAACAATACTCCCAGTACCACAAACTGAGCTGTTAAACACAAAGGAAAAGAAAAAGGGAAGCAAAGATAACTGTTTACAAAAGACGTTCATATATACAGTACCTTCCAAATGCATCAACAACCATTAAAAGTAATTCAGTGAATTTGATTTATGATCATGATGACTAGTTCAATGGAAGAGTTTTGTTCTTGAGAAACTCGATTATAAATTAACCACTAATGTTCCCATTAACTTGAAAAGACAAATTTCTTGAAAAAGTTTGCTTTTTAAAAGAAAAATGAGGGACTGAACAACCCTAATTACTAAGCAGTTCATGCAACACTGAAGTAAAAAAAAACCCCACAAGCTCAGATGTGCTTTCTGCTAAAGCCACACTTCTAGGGCAGAGTGGGACATTACTATCTTGAGTTTCTTTTCACCATGCTACCTGATTTATTTTTATTTTTTTGTCACATTACACAAATGTTTGTAAACTGGATGCTGTGGACATGGCCAACACATTGGATCCATTGGGTATTTGGAAGTGACCCTTTTGCTCACGTAGAGACTGTAACATCCAGAGCAGCTCTTAAAGTCCAAGCTTCTTTATTTGCTTCTCATTGTAATACCTTGGTGAGTCATAAGCTGTGAAGAACCTCAGTAAATTGGCCTATGTATGTGGTCCTGATTTATTTTTTGGTAGAAAAAAAAAAAAGAGTCGTTGGAGATGCTGGAACGGTTCCTAGAGCAGCAGTCAGCTGCCTCTGCAGCTTTGCCCCCCTGATGTGCAGAGGAATGAACGCTATCTCTGCACTATGACAGGGGTTGACATAATGTCAGCAGAGATGTGGTGAAAGCTTTCAAGGCTTATGAATGCTGGCATATCGGGAATATCTGAATATATGTCCATAACTGTGAGAAATATTGAGGTTTTGCTTGTATAGCTGCTGGAGAAGATAATTTACGGCCCTGAATTCTCCACGACCTAATGCAAAAAAAAAAAAAAAAACTTGACTGCCTTCAGTTATAATGGGCAGAATTACATTGACTTTTGTCGACAAGTTCAAAACAATGTTTTTGTTGTTTCATCTTCGTATATCCCCATGCAATTTACGATTAACGTTATCGCAAAGTAATCTGAAGCAGAGGTGAAATTAATTGGCTTATTTATCTATCTTGTTTACCAAGGAAATAATATTAAATACATGTGAGTGAGTCATCTTGAATTACATCCTAAATTGGGGTAAAAGTAATACAGAAAATGTAATCAAGTTTTCTTCTCTTAATTTAAAATATGAGAATCTTCACTGTTGGAATGCTGACAGTGAGGTCGGTGGTGGTTTTTCATGACAGTGAATCATCAAAAGATTGAACAATTTCAAAAACTCCAACGTGAGAGGATATAGGATTTATTTTCCTAGTGTTCGTGCCTGGAGGCACCATTAAATATTTATATTTGAAGCAGAGGTTGCATAACAGCTCTGAGTGGGGAAAATAGGTTGTTGTAAAACTGGGTTTTAGTAAAACTTCAAAAGACATGATTAAGAAGTGAAGCTGTGTAAAACTTGCTTTAACGCCTTATATTCATGATTAGCACAGCTTGCTATGCCAGAGTGGCTATCATTACAAAATAGGAGTCTCAGACTGAACTTTCTTCAGAATTTAGAAAATTTAGCAGAATCCTAACTTTACTTTAAATTGAAGATGGTAAAGACTGACATTTTCATATCCAAGATTTTTCATACTAAAGTTAGATACAACACGACATTTAAGCTGTAAGATGTTCTGGTCTTTCACAGCCTGAACAAACTGCAATCATATCTTAAAATGTTGGTCCCTAAATAAACCACAGAGTAGTTTTTCTGAACACACTATGATCTGAATATCAGCTGCTAATCTATGAATTTATTGCTGGCTCCATGATTGTAAGCTTTGTTTGTTTTATGAAACGTGTACTTCCTGCAACTTTCTTTATTTACACTGCCTGGTGGCAGTTGTGTCATGCGTTATCTTTTACTAAGAGACTTCTACTCTAAATGGAGCTGGTGCATTTTGAGGTATATAAATAACTTATAAGTACATGAGACGGAGCTATCAAAAAGGTATGCTTATTTTTTTCAGAATGGTGCAACAGCCAATCGGAGGCTGCATAAGAGAGCTAAGCTAAAGCAAAACCTCCCCAAAAAGTAAATGTCTGATTATTGTCCATCTGGACAGTGTGGGAAACTGGGTGGAAAAACAAGCCAAGGCAGGCAGGTGTCTGTTTCCACTGTGTGCACGCCATGCATGATTTCATATTGAGTTTTTGGGTAACAAGTTTGTAGTCTGCATAGCCTCCTCACACCTGATGTTGTCAACGTACTGATAGCCCAAGTCTAACAAGTGTTAGTTCGGGAACATAACTGTAAAGTAGATCTGTTTGTTTGAACCACTGTCTACTTTGCATGTAAACTTTGTGCTTTGTGATGTATAATAACAGGGAGAAGATGAATTATGAATTGGATCTCCAGTCTCATAAAATTAATTTAAAAATGTAGCAGGCAGTCTTAAAATTACCCTAAAATAAATACAGCAATAAAAGAAACCACAAGCTCTAGGCAGACTGTAAAATGGAATACCACAGTATAATCAGAGGAAGGCTTAACAATATCAAATAGGCTGTTACAGTCTAAACTGAGTTAACCAGTGAAAGGGCCTGGTAAGAACTAGGGGGGAAAAAATAAAAAATCTGCCTCCATTTAGTAACATCCTGGTGGGATGTACAATGTTTGTTACACAAGAGGACACATTCTTGAGCCATTATACCATCTGTATCCACATTGATTTTTTCCCCCATTCAGTTTAAGGCTTTGTAAATAACACTTATGCACATCAATTGCCAAATCCTCATTTGCCCACTTGCCTCCAAGTGAAAATCATAGCTATTTGACTTGCAATTTCCTTGGATGATCACTTGTTTTCCAAGGGAGTATAATGCATTTTCATCTTCCAGCAGTGTTCCCTTAAGATTTGAGATGCAGCTCCCAAAGCACCTTTGATACTGTAAATAGAGAACATCAAGTGCCTGATTCTGTACTTGAAAGCATTCTGAATATTGGCAGTATTTCTTTAGTTCTACAAAAGGGGAATTAGCCCCCCACCCAAAAAAAGAAAAAAAAAAACCATCAGCAATAACTCTGTACAAAAAGTGTTCTACAACAAAACTTTTATATGTTCTTGTTTCCATTCTGCTAACTTTTATAAACTTCATTTCCCCAAAAGTGTTTTTCCCCTTTTGTTTCCTGTTTTTGATGCTGTCTTTTCTGACAACACAAAGCTCCCTGGGTCAATGCAGCTTATTTCTCTTTACTAGTAGATCTTAGAGCCCAATGAGTTTTGATCTCTCTAGGTAGCTTCCAATCCTTTTTTCCCCCCTTTCCTTTTAACACTATGCCGTACAGACTTGAGACACTGACATTTAGTCAGCATATGGATTATCCCTGCCGTGCTGATATGTGTCATCTTGTCCCAGTGTGGGGAAAAACAAAACAAAAAAAGACTATGGTTGTGTGTGTACGAGAGAGGTAGTGAGAGATAAAGACTTGTATTGGGAGCACAGAACAGTGGATGTGTATTGATTGGCTGTTAGGTTTACTCACCTGAGCGTGTCTGCTGAGCAGCAGTTTTTGCCATTTACCTTAGCTTCCAAAGAGTGCTCTTGCAATACAAGTAGCATTTCATATTTCTGAAGATTGATTCCTATGACCTGAATACATGTGGAAAGATGGACCAAGGCTGTAAAACTGTAAGGTTTAAAAACGGCACAAACACATTTGTCAGACCAGACCTACGGTTTAAAGCAACTTTTACCGAGATGCAGATACCATGTCACAGCAACGGGCGTTTATCAAAAGTTTGTGGAATAATGAATGGATGGGTGACCCAGTCCCCATATTTCTGGTCTTCTGCACTTCTTCCATGGTTAAAAGAAAGAAAGCTAAGTTATTTGGTAATGGTCTACAAGGTTCAATGTCCATCTAGAGAGGTCCAAAGAAAAGAAAAAAAAGAGTGAGGTCTGGCCCAGCAGAAGAGCTAATGTAATTGAAATTACTGAAGACATTATTGCCGTTTCTGATAGAAAGCTGGCAGCATAACAGTGCCTCTCAGGTTGTTGTGTTTGGGGTCCAGTCAGAGTGCCCGTGCTGACCCCTATCCACCTCCAAGAGAGCCAACAATGGGTGTAGACACAACTGTTATGTTTCTAAAGAAATTCTGGAAGATTTTTTTTTTATTATTATTTCA